TATTATTATTATTATTATTATTATTATTATTACCAAAGACACTTCCACAAATTCCTGTACTCTTTTCCTAAATACTAGGAAGAAGCACTGAGTTGGATGCAGTTACCTGCATGAAGTTTGACTTACAGAAATGGTTTTCCTAGTACCTGCTAATGGAAGCATGCAACACTTTAATGCCCCCTTTCTCATTAGTTACAAATGGCACAGTCTCTAAGCCCTCCTGTGCAGTCCAGAATCTTAGAGAGTTGTGCCTGCCCCATCCTTTTTTCAATATATTTTTAAAAATCTAGTTTGAAATACCTGGAAGGGAGATAATTGTCCACTCTACAGCCCCCTGCCTTATGGACCTGTACAGGACTAAAAACATGCCCTCCATTTAAAAGTGACACATAATGGCTTTAGAGCAGTGGTTCTTAACAGAGTTCTAACTCCTGTCCTCTGAAGATGCCGACCACAGAGACTGGCGAACAACCATAATTCATAGTGTTTAGACATTTGTTTTTTGTCATACATGTTCTTGGCTTATTGACAGACATATTTTTATCTAGTAAATTGCTAGTTCTTTCATTGTAACACTATGTTTGTAAGCCCTATCCGACCCTATCAAATCCTGTTAGTTACATCTTTAACCCTGTCAGTCCTATCTGATTATTAAATATTTTAGTTGCTGTCACTTATAGACCCTATCACTATCTGTGTCTGCTACATGTTTGTTCCTGTCTGACGGACTTCTGACACCTGCCTTAAATAGTTGTATGGCTGATTCCAGACACATTCTGATTTGTCAGAATGTTAAGTTATACATATGCAATATCCTGGTCTTTTCTAGCAAACACATTTAAATGTACAGATACACATATGCATACTGTGTTGTGTAATTAATTATATATACCAGCATTAACCTTCTCAACACAGAATGCACCCCAAAATTCTCATTTTAATTCATAGACTTTGAAAACAGTCTTTGGAAAGTGGTTTCATTGAAATGTCTGCTGTCTTTTTAGTAGTGGACAATAAACTATTTTAATTGTACTTTTTTCTGTTAGGTCATAACTCAAATATACAAATGTAACCCACCAACTGAGAATATAAATTCATCAACATGTTTTCATCTTAATTTATATCATGTGTCCCATCTTTTTCTGAAAATATAATAGTTCTTGTGTTGGGATATAACCTTTATGTTTTGTAAATATATTCTATATGAGGGTTGCAGATCCCATTAAAACTATTTTCTTTCAATAATCTTTTTCTAACTTTCAATTCACAAGTTAATTTATCATTAATATCTATATTCCACATCTCATTATACCATTCTTCCAACATCAATTATTTTTCCAGTTCCTTGCAAAATCAGTCTAGCTGCTGTTAACATAATAACAGTTTATTGGATTTCCCCCCTACCTAATTGACAGTTTCCAAATGTATTTAACAATTCTAACATTGGACATCTTTGTATATCTGTCCTTATAATTTATTTAATCTCATTAAATATAATCATGCATTCCATCTGTCTCTTCACATGCCCACCACTTACGATAATATGCTCCTCTTTCTTTTTTACATCTCCAACGTATAGGTGATAGCTCTTTATTCAATGAATTCATTTTCATTGGTGTTAAATACCATCTCCATATTACTCTATAACTTTACCCTAACTGATGTATTTTTCATTGTACATTTTCCCCAGATCCTTTTCCATACTTCTTCACTGATTTCTTTATTTAAATCTCCTTGCCATATCTCTTTCAAAGTTATTGTTTTATTTTCATTCTCTATTAACATCTTACATATTACGCTTAATATCCCTTTCTTTTAATATCATCAGCCATCTCTTCCCTCTTTTCAATAAATTCTTCAAATGTAGTCATCCCTCTACACTTTCCTTCCTTATTTTCTCCATTCCTTGGTCCCATTATCTAACTGTCATATTCAAGTAATTCCTTTTCCTCCTAGTATATCTTTTATTCTCTCTATATTATACATCTTCTTCTTCCAATCTTTCATTTTTATAACTTTCTGTTCTAACAAAACTCTTATTTAATTTCTTCTTCAGATTATCTGGAAAACTGTAATTCCACCACATGTGTCTGTGGGGAAATATTTAGATTCAATTTTCTCTTATACTTATTCCAACATTGCAATTTAAGATTTAAAAATGGGTTATCTATTTTTGTATGTTATTTTCCTTCTTTTTTATTTTTTACAAAATTAGAACTAAAATACAAATTCAGTAGTAACTGCACACAATATACATTGGTTGTTGTGGTTTTTTCGGGCTCTTTGGCTGTGTTCTGAAGGCTGTTCTTCCTAACGTTTTGTCAGTCTCTGTGGCCGGCATCTTCAGAGGACAGGAGTAGCACTCTGTGCTCTGGTACAGTTTGTTTGTGAGTTGAGTATTTATAGCTGTTGGATCAGCTTTGTCCTTTTCAGGAGATGGTGATCACGCATCTCCTGAAAAGGACAAAACTGATCCAACAACTATAAATACTCAACTCCCAAACAAACTGCACGAGAGCACAGAGTGCTACTCCTGTCCTCTGAAGATGCCGGCCACAGAGACTGACAAAACGTTAGGAAGAACAGCCTTCAGAACACAGCCAAAGAGCCCGAAAAAACCACAACAACCATTAGATCCCAGCTGCGAAAACCTTTGCAAATGCAATATACATTGAACTTTCCACACCCATGCCACTTTCACCCTTGGGACTTAGGTGACTAGTAATTTCAATTTATGTTCCTTTTCACCCCATACCTCTCCAAAAATACATTGATTCTTTTGCTGGCATATAGCCTTTCCCTTTCAAAAAGACATGCTCCAAGTAGGAATTCCATATATTTCTGAAATCATTAGACTTTATCATTCCTCTTCTTATTTTCATTTCACATGTTAAATTATCATTAATTGCTAAGATCCACATTTCTTTATACCAATGTTCAAGATTAATTTGTTTGTTGCTTTTCCAATTATTTGCAAATATTAGTCTTGCTACTGGAACCATTATAACAACTAACTCTTTCTGATCTTTTTTTAGATGATCATTCTTAATTATATTTAGGAGGGTAATAATAGGTGATATCTGAATATCATATCCAATGATTTTTCTAATTTCCTTAAAAACCAGCGCCCATTCTTAGTTTCTCATTTCACATGGCCACCACATATGCATATAGGTCCCTTTTTCCTTTTTGCATCTCCAGCATTGAGATGGTATATTTTTATTTATTATATTCAGTCTTACTGGAGTAAAGTACCATCTCCGTGCTATCTTATAACAATTTTCTTTTACCCTTATAGACATATTCTTCATTACTCTTTGTGACCATATGTTGTTCCAATCCTCTTTTTTAATCTCTTCCTCAAAGTCCTCCTGCCACTGGTTTTTCATAATCACTTATCCAAATCTGGAATGTACTAAAATCTTATAAATTATACTAACTGTTCCCTTTCTTTTGTTTCCTTCTTCTTGATCTTGTCTTTGTTCAATAATATCCTCAAATTTTGTCAATTTTTGAATCTCTCCTTTTCTAGTCCATTCTCTTGTCCAACTTTCCATTTGGAATATATTTAACCAGGATATTCCCTCTTCTTCCCCCAAAATATCCTTTATAGTCTTTTTATCTTTAATCTTTTTCATCCAACTCTTTATTGTATTTAACCCTTTCTCTATTAATACTTAGTTAAGTTTAATTTAAAGAGTTTTGGGGAAACTCTGAACCTACACTGCTTGTTGCAAGGGCGAAATAGGTGGACTTAATAGATATATAATTACTCCAACACTCTACCATATTTGTCAGAAAGGGATTAGTTATTGTCTTAATTCCTTCTACAATGTTTTCTTCAAAAAAAGAAGCCTCCATTCTATCAAGAGTATTCTGACATTTACATTTCCCTCCATATTAGGTTTCTATTGTGTACTATAATATTTGGTATATGGCTAAGCTGATTTGCAATGTAATATTATTTAGTATTAGTAGTCCAAGCCCTCCTTCTTTTTGTGGACTATACCATAGCCTTTTATTGATCCTTGTTCGCTTTTTTCAGCTCCTTCCTATCGAAATGATTTAATAAAATACATTCGGATTTCTTCCTATTCACTTTCAAACCAGTTATTTCTTCAAATAAATTTAAATGTCTTTTGATTTTCTGTGATGTATCTTTTGGGTTTTAATTATTAATAATGTATCATCAAGAGATTTATTTTATCCTCTTTGGTATCTACACCTTTAATTGAACTATTTGTTTCTAATTACTTGTGCCAGGACTTCTATTACCATTGTAAATAGAATTGGAGATAAGGGAGAGACTTGTCTCATTCCTCAGTCTAGGAATATTAATTCAGTCATACCATCGTTTATTATTTTTATAGAGTTCTGTGAATATAGTTGTATTATTTGTCTAAATTGGGTGCCAAATCCTATCTGTAAAAATCAAGATTTTTAATGCATCCCATTCAACTGAATCAGTGGCTTTAAAAATGTATAGGGATACCACTCCCGCCTTACATTTTGATTATTTTGCCAGGTGCATTAGATTAAGCACCTTTCTCATTGTGTCTGACATCTGTCTACCTTGTATGAATCCATTTTGATCTTTCTTAATATGTTTCCCAATGAAATCGTTTAATCTTGCTGTCAGAATTGCCATGCATATTTTAGCATCTTTATTTATCAGTGTAATTGGCCTATAAGATTCCATATTTAT